GAAGCTGGGGATTTTTGGAAAGGGCCCATTTTCTTTCCTGGTTTTGGAGATCAGCTGTAGACTCTGTCTTCAAGGAGGAACTGAAATGAGATAGGGATTCTGTAATACTTATCAGCTTGTCATGGATTTAATGTTTGATCAGAAGTGACGCCATGGCATTCACTCCACAAAAGAGATGGGTTCCAGACAAGCATTTGTCTCAGAAGGAATTTCTAGTACTTGTGAGGGACAGTTCATAGTGTCCTGCACAACTCCTACAGTATCTAGGTTCCCCTAAAAGGCCACTATTTGGACAACATCCACTTGGAGTGAGGGAAGAAATCAAACAGTGGTGAGACAGATGAAGAGTCAGCATGGCAATTCCTAAAGGAATCCACAAGGAAGCAAAGATTTGTGGGATAACTACGTTGAGATGGCTTTGAAGTGAGCTATGACACATTCGGTCCAAAGGATGAAACTAAACCTAGTCCAAAGTAAAACTCACAAACCACATACAGTGGAAATGTCAGGAGGCTCAGCAGTTAATTCAGCATGGCTTCACTCATCTGCCCAAGCTGCTCCAAATTATACATTACTATAGGCATCGCTGACGTTGACATGCTGCAGTATAACTATTTTCAGTCAGGGGAGATCAAGTTCCAGCTGCTTCTTCAGACTTTTACAGTGTCATTTAGAAGTCTTTTGTGTGGAATATGAAAAACCCAAGACACCACTCTGTAAATTCGTGACAAGTCTCATCCTATAAAGAATACTAACACTGATATTTTTGAAGAGCTACCCCAGTGACATTGCAGTTAAATCTTCCTAAGACATGCACGGAAGAATATCATTTGAGATTTAAATAAGATAAGGAAAAGCAGCACTAAAAAAGAAGCCTAATACACAGTTTTATCAAGATAATGTTGCTTTACCAGACAAACAGTTAGGTTGTCAATCTCAGTAGGATTTTCTGTCTGTACTCAAGTTTTGATTTTAAAGCAATTCTGAGAAAAAATATCTTGAACTTAAAGTCACTATTTGTAGCTAAGAAGGAATTGGTTATTTTTCAAGGAAGAAGACAAAGAAAGACGATGGAGTAAAGCATGAAGAATGAGAAAGAGTATTAGAAACAGAACAATCTGGGTGATACCTCAGTCGTGTACAGGAGATATGAGCAGAGCAAGACAGATACGCACATAAACCCAAACTGACAATGGCTAATGCAGCTATTTCAGAAGTAAATGTTTTTAGGGTGGGTAATTATGGAAAAAACCTTCCTTCTGAATAAATTAGTCCTTCACCAATTGTTGATAACCTGAAGCCCTTCTTTCTCATCCATCTTTTTATAACATTCAATGTTCTTGAAGGCTTGGCAGGGGGTGTTAGTTTTTACTAATCCCATCACATTATTGCACTCAGAAATTATTTATTATGGCACTGAATTTGACATGTGAACTGTGCATTGTTATTGAAAAGAATCACAGAGAGAAATCATACTGCTTTTCTGTTCACAATCTGTCAAGAGTCAACAACTGCAAATAACATGACTCTCAAATTCTTGAGATTTCATTTTAGCAATTGAGACATTCTAGAGAATACTCCTACTGGTGGAAACAGAAGGGTTTTTTCATCTATGAAACAACCTTTGCCTTAACCTGAAAACAGTAGCATTTTCCAACACAATCAGAAAATTTGGGTTTAAATGAACAGAAGCCATTGCTCCTTATTTCTTCTGAGTATCTTTATATTACCCTAATACTACACAAATTCAGTAACATTTCTAACAGAATTTGTGTCTCCTTTATCTTTTCCTACCATCTCACTACTGAAATTGGAGAATCTCCCATACTCAAAACTTCCACTTACATCCCCATTTTACTGGCTTCAGTTCAATATTGTAATCCTCATTAAAAGGCCTATAACAGGCATCAGTAAAGAAATAAGTCCCATCAGTACATTCTGGAAGACTGTTATGTCTTAAATTTGCCAAATTCCTCCTCTCTGCATTTGGAAGATTTAATCTGTAACAACATATAATTAACACACTTAAAATGCAACTGTATGCACTACGTACAACTGCACTTTAAATAACTCTAATTCTCAAGACTTTCCAAGTGTGGAGGAAGTATAGTTGTACAGAATATCAACACAAACTGATCTTGCCATTATTTACATCAATAAAGAATTGCTGAAATTGTCCTGCAGTCCTTCTATTCCAGTTCTGCCCCAAAAAAAATAAACCAGCCAAAAAACACTTCCCACAAGTTGGGCATTGAACATCACTAGCTTCCAACATTTCTCTGAATTATTTGTAGTTCAGTGGTACTTAACACTGAAACTGCAGCATTACTATAGCTCTTAGATCTGAAGAGCAGTGCAACAAGTAAAGAGGATAAGAAAAATCTGAAAACAACAGGCTTCCTGAGTACACAGCTCAAACTATCCTATTCTCCCTAAGGAGCTACATTATCTCCAACCAAGAACCTATGTCACTTTTTTCATCCTTACCATGACTTTCATCCTGGAACAAAAGATCCAACCTGCTACAAAATTCTGCAATCTTCTCACGTTGTGACCCACAATTATCCTACGTAACTTCTGCTGAATCCATTTACACATTCCTCTTTTATCACCAAAAGCCAGAAACAAATCTACCACTTCAAGAGCTGATCTTTGTAGAGACATTTTGAACAGGCAGCCTCTGCTAAGACACCCTCATTACACTATAAGCTTATTGGCCAGACAGACATTCATTGGACGTCGAAACGACTGCACAACAGATACACACTGTTGGGCTATTTTAAATTAGGAAAGGAACTCAGGAAAGAAGGCAAAAGGCTTCTTTCCCCACCAGGAGGTTCATCAGCTTCGGTCATATGTCTGATCTGTACTCATACTGATCTATAATGGAAAATGCAGAGCGCTGAAAGTCTATTTCAATATGACAGGATATAGTTCTTTTAGCTTACACTGAGCAGACTGAGAACACGGTGACAAGCCATGATGAAGGGCTGTGTGCCAAACGTCATCACCCACGCTCCACAGTGGTATGGTAGGCCTTTTCACAAAATCTCTCCTAGGCCCTAAAAGATCTATGACACAGAATACACCAGCCTATGTCTTTCCCATTTTCAGCAAATGTCTTTGTGAATACCTTTGTTATCAGATGTCCAATATTTACCAGGTAAACCAAGTTAAAATTATTCCGCAGAATGGACTAGACAGCTTCAACATACAAGACATCTCAAATCCTGCCTTTCACTTAAATTCCCTTTTGATTAAGGAGAAGAGGAAACTATAGTATCTAAAAGCAGTATTTAGATAGGACTCAGCCACCAGCACAATTATCGTAAACTTCTGAATGTGTTCTGCTACATACCCCCAGAAAACTTAAACCTGTTCTTCCATTTGGTTTGGTAATGCTGCTGAAAGAGGAAATGTGGGGGAGAGGATGCGGATGTCAGTTAGTAAAACTTCCTCATTCTGCACAAATCAGCAATATCCTAAAACATTTAATATGCTTACAGAGAATACAGAGACACAAACCTAGGAGGCTTAATGCCAGCATCAAGCTTAAAAAGCAAAACTTCCCAAGTGTTTTGCAGAGGAAATTCTACAAAGTCCACTTAAGATTATTTACATTAGAATGTTGTATTACATCATTAAAATGAAACAAGTATGAATTTTTATGTGTATTTAGTGTTTATTTAATATATATATTTCCATATGTGTATATTGTATTTATATGACATGACATAAAAATGTATATATAAAATTACAATAGTATATATAAAATATATTACACATATATATAATACATATATAAAAGAATAGATAAAATTAGATAAGGAGCTGGGACCTTTTAAAGTCTCCTAATTTCTTAAAACGTTGAAGCTAGTTGTTCTAGCTCCAGCATACTGTACAGTAACTTCTAAGTTCTCTTTTGGACTTGGTAAATCAACTGAAAACTGGTGAGAAGTAAATGTTTTCTATATTTCCCTTAAAAGGTAGAGTGCAGTACAGGTTTATCATGTTTTGCAGCTGTATGACCTCTCTCTTATTCCAACAGTGGAATAAAACCCTCACAAGCTGAATTACTGTATTATGAACCTCGTTTCACATTTTAAACCGAAGGTTTGCATCGCTCCAGACACCAGGTGTGTATCTGAAGTAGAGTGTGTTCCATTCACTGAAATGCATCTTGCACATTGAAATACATTAAGGAAGACTATGAGTCTGACTCCAGCATTTCTTTGTGCCCAGCGTTAAGTGCAACAGCTACAAGTAACTGGAAGAAAAGAGCCAGTGTGAGGGCAAACCACCAGCTGATGGCTGCGAGAGCAGAGAACCTTGGTTGGGGCAGACTGCAAGCACCCATGGTGGCACCAACCCGGGGCCGGGCACTGAGTAAATCTGAAAGGGCTGATGCAGAACTGAGTATTCATGACCCCAGCTGGGGATAAGCTGCCTCAGCTGATGGGGGAGTCGAAATCCACAGACCTTCCAGACAGAAAATTAGTGTGGGGCCACCAGCCCCCCAACTACAGCCTAAAGCTGGGCAGATGATGCAGCCCTCTTTAGAGCCGCTCCCTGGCAAATTTCACTTGTTTTTACACTCAATTATGTGCAGCAATAGCCAAAGTATGCATCTGCATTTCTCCTGGAACTGTATTTTTGATCATCATAGCAACTGTCAAGGGACTTGACTAATACTTTGATTTACCTTTTAAACATGAAATAAGAACTGTTGGGGGGGAAAAAGAGAAATCCAATAGAGAAAAGTTCAAAATTTAACCAACCAGGAAAAAAATTATTAAACTGCAGAAGAAAAAAAAAAGAAGAATTAAAGGAAAATCAAAATCTCTTAGATGCAGTATAATCAGGTACAGATATTGAAGCATATAAATCAATACTGAACACAGCAAAAGGAATAAACTAGCAAGGTTTCTACCTTTCTAGTATCTACCTGCTGTGCAATATTTACTGCCCATTTCCAGTGACGAGATTATTCTCAAACATACCTGTTCAAGAAGTTCCTTATAGGTTATTTTCTCTTTGGTATTTGTTACAGGACTGTCATAAATAATGGCAATTTGGTCTCCTCGTCCATTCTCAACATGACGATCTACAGCATTGTAACAGATATTCAGCTCTCCACCTACAAACCTAAAAAAGAAGTTGGAAGTACATAACAGGCAGCCTTCCAAACTATTAACACTATTTTTTTGCATATATATATTTTTAAGGAATGAGAGCATTCAATTCAAATAAATATATCTCATAAAATATTATACTCTGTTCAGGAAATTGTTTTTTAATCTATAACCTCACAATTTACTCAAAAAGCTAAATAAGCCTATTAGTGAAAATAGTGGAAGTACTGTACTTTGATTGATGTAACTGAGAATCTGCTAAATTTGGTCTTGATTTAACTTTGCATCAATCATTCTGATTTTCATAGCTAAGGTTTCACAGAAAAAGCATATATTCATATAAAATAATCTGATATTATGAAAACGTGTTATTACACTACTTTGTATTGGCATGCACACATATCTTTTTTAAGAACAGGTTCAGGACTCAAAATATTCTTATTCATCCCTTGGCAATAACGGTTAAGCGTACAAGCATCTGTATCTAAATGAAACTGACACCAACGGTTATAAAACATTATAAATTTGACATTCATAATGCATCTGACATTACTGTGTTTTACATCAGTAACTTAAAATACCCTGTAAAGCAATGTGAGTCATAGCCTCTTCAACATTCAGACATTTACAGGAAATTCTCATCTTCTAATTAAAGAAAAAAAACTTCACAAACTCAGGTTTCATTTTTATTGTCATTTTACACAAAAAAAAAAGAAAATTCAAGTGTGGAATTATCCTCATATAAGAAAATACAGAAGGCACCAAATACAACAATGGCTCTACTAACTGAAAGATGACAGAATCTAAAAACTAAAGTTCACTCTAAGTAATGCTCTTTGTGTTTGCTTTTCTATGCGTACATATCTCTCTACAGCAAAAAGAAGAGCAACACACAGAAAAAAAAAAAAACTTGCGAATTTCCAAAAAGTTCTTTGGGGACACTCACTGTGGTAATGTGATAGTTATACTGCAATTAGAAATAAAAACAGATGGCGTAAAGTAACCCACTACTACTTAAAAAAGTATTTCCTTCTTCATGTTTCCCATCTAGTAAAGGACTACTCAAAATCAGGATATCTGATATATTATTCATACAGCCGTATGGACAGGTGCCATGGCATAGTATTATTGTCAAAGAATGGCAATTATTAAAACAAAGCAGTTAGAATATTAAGTATGCAGCAACCTTACTGTGACTCCTTTACAACACCATTAATAAAGAGAAAGTAGGGGACCAAGAAAGCAACAAAACATTCTATGCTACAAACCCCTTCCCATAAATGAAGAACTATGTGAACAATAAAGGATTGGGAATTGTTTCATGTAATATAGAGAAACTCTGTATTACTGTCATAAAAGTTGGGTAGGATTCAGGTCATCCATTGATTTTTACATCAAATCACTGTGGGATGATATGAACAAGGGAACAAGAAAGCGCAGTGCCTGGGCTGCTCTGTATAACCACTGAAGAATGGTCAAAACATCAGCAAGTACCAGAGCTTGGATCCTTCTAAAGATGCATGGGAACATCAACACTGCCACACATACTTCTAACAATCACTTGCGAACAAGTATGTGAAAAAAAATGTGACTACAAGGTGAAACAAACAACAAGACTATCTCGTTGTGATGAGAGCTTTGCTACCCCATGTAGAAGGAGGGTGGCTTTTATAGGATCAGAGAAGCAGAGATGCACCTACCATGACCACAACTGCAAGACTTCCGCTTCTGTACTGTCACCCGAGGACGTGCTCAATTATCTTATTGTGGCTGACAAATAAAAGCTGCCTGGCTTTGAAAAGCTGCCCTGTGTTACTGCAAACTTCTGTTGATGCAGTGATTCCCAAGGAGATGAATACCCATGAGGAACTTTGATTTGTTTGAATAAGCTTTCGTTGGAAATAGCAGCATGAAACCAGGACCCGGTTTTGGAATAAGGACATGAATGAGATGCTCCTATTTAAAACAAAGGTCTAGAATCAAAAAGAAAATATTCCAACAGACTGCAGAAAGATCAGAGGTGGATCTGCAGGATGTTTGTGAGAGCTTGCCAGTAAATCTTGCCATAATAAGCAAGACTGTAAAATGCTAATATGTTGCTAACCAGACAGTTATCTCAATGTCGCTTACCAACGGAGTCCAAGTCTAAAGACTCTTACTTTAGACTGTGTTCCTAAATTAATAATATTCAACAAATGGAGCAGAGGAAGATTAAAACAAATAAAAAGAGTAAACAGTATCAACTCTGATACATAAAAGAAACTGGATTTGGTTCACTAGCAGTCTCTTTGAAGAGCTCATCTGCCTTCTACTGGCACTATGGTAGGAAAAAAAAATGACATGGTTTTTCCTGTCAAAAATCACAGCAGAATTTAAAACTGGTTACAATATTGAAACATCTTGCTTCGCAGCAACATGTTAAAACAGTGATTCTGACAATATCTGCCTATCCTTTTAATAAATCTTTTTTCTTGTACATCCATGAAAGCAGCAGCCTTTGATAATCCACATTATGCATACCTTACCTCTAATAAGGCTTTTTTTTATTTTAATAATTTGAGTGGGCTTAGCCACATTAGGATGCCCTTGAGCCTCTTTAAAGATGTCTACAGCAGTCACCTAGGAATTACGGCCTCTTTGTGACTGGAGCTCAGCACCACCCATGTCACCCTGGCCCTGAGGTCTCACAGAGTTTCAGTTGTTTCACAAACAGGAACCTGAAGCACATGCACTTACATCTCTAACCATACCTTAACATGACTACTCTGTCAACCTTCTAGGGGTACAAGTAGAAAAGGGGACAAAAACGCTCATCTTCTGTTCATACTTCTGGCAAGTCAGTGGTCTTCCAAAGCAGGACTACCATTACATACAGCTTAATATCTACCATCTACGGCCTGGAAATTTTTTTTAGTGCGTTCAGTACTTTTTTTGATGTGACAAGAGCCTACTTGCTAGTAATGAAATAAGTACAGTACTGAAGAAGACAACACATAATTATCTCTTAATTCACTTCACTCAAATATTCAAAAGTTATGCTTTAATTTCCAACACTATCTGCTATCTTAAGAATCAAAGTAGCTGTATTCAGAGATACTTTTCAGTCTGCATTCAATGGCTTAGAAGGAAAGACAATTAAAAATTTAAAAAAGAAAGAAGGTAAAGGTTCTGAATAAAGCTGACACGTATGCAAAAGAAAAACATTAAAATTATTTTGCACCATAGCTGTAAAAAAAAACATATTGCTAAAACACTTTCATGCCATGCAGGGTACATATACTTCTCCAAGCTGAGTTCCCAGGAATCACATGGATTTTTTTTTAAATCTTTCTAGTTGAAGTGAGAACAGAAGCTGAATAAAGTGTTAGACAAAACCACAACAATATCAGATATTTTGAAATACTAAATTAATTGAACGAGCCACATTTTTTAAAAGTGTGAGAAACATTTGAATAGCAATCTGTGCAACATTACTAAAGTTCAAAGGTCTTTTTATATTGTGCTTATGTCTTTGAATCAGAGAGAAAACATAACTTGCAAAATTGCCCTCTGCCTACATGCATTAGGAAAAATTGTTTCTATAATTTCTAAAGAAATACTTGCTTAACCTTTCTAGCTGGGATTACACAAGATCCCAAAATAATCCGTGCAAGTGTTTCTCTACCTTTAGCATTAAAAAGATTTTTCTTTCTAATATCTAAAATCTACATCTCCCTTCTTGCGATTTAAGACTTCTAGTTTTGACCTCTTCAAAGCCAACTGAGAGAAGTTTCGCCTTGAATTTTGTAGGCAAATTCTCTGTAGCCAAATTTTATGTCTTTTAAAACTCCCTTTTGGCTTCTGCACAAAACAATTCCAATTCCTTCATATTTTTCTTGACCAATCATGCTTTATGGGTCATTATTTTTGATGTGGGCAAAACCAGATGATGTTTTGTGCCATACCAGCCACTGATGCGGGTTAGAACAGTCAATGGTACCTGGGATTACCGCTGAGACAGAACAGCCAGAGGACAGTGACACTGGTCACATACCTTTCAGAAATCATTTTGCAAGCCACTGACATAACACTGGTGTTTCCAATGGAAAAGACTATAAAGAAAACACACTAGGGTACGCTGCACACTTCTTTCACGCTCTTACAGTATTTAGAGAGGATGAAACGGCATTTGCCTTACAGCTACATTTTAAATGCATTAACCACCTCCTTCAACTTCTTTAACTGAAGTAAATGAGACCAGAAAATATATGAAAAGTAAGTCTCACTTTTGGCAACCAAAGTCAAACATACTGAAAATAAATGTATATTTATTAATTGACCTAATAATATGTCTCTGAAACGGGAGATAAATTGCAACTCAAGAAGCACACAGATGTACTTCTTAATATTATTTTTAAGCTTTCCATAAACTGCTTCCAAGGTAAACCTCTGAGCTAGAATTACACAACATCCTTGTCTCTAAATTGGAGAGACATGGATTTAACAGATAGACCACTTGCTGGATAAGGAATTGACTGGATGGCCGCACTCAAAGAGTTGTGGTCAATGGCTCCATGTCTAAGTGGAAGCCAGTGACATAGACAGTCGCTGCGCACCCTCAGCAAGTTTGTCAATGACATCAAGCTGTGTGGCACAGTCAACATGCTGGGGGGAAGGGATGCCATCCAGAGGGATCTAGACAGGCTTGAGAGGTGGGCCTATGCAAACCTCATGAAGTTCAACCAAGCCAAGTACAACATCCTGCACCTGGGTCTTGGCAATCCCAGGCACAAATACAGGTTGGGTGGAGAATGGCTAGAGATCAGCCCTGAGGAGAAGGACTTGGGGGTGTTGGTGGATGAGAAGCTTAACATGAGCCGGCAATGTGCCCTCACAGCCCAGAAAGCCAACCGTATCCTGGGCTGCATCAAGAGAAGCATGGCCAGCAGATTGAGGGAGGTGATTCTGCCCCTCTACTCCACTCCCATGAGACCCCAACTAGAGTACTGCGTCCAGCTCTGGGGCCCCCAACATAAGGACATGGACCTGTTGGACCAAGTCCAGAAGAGGGTCACGGAGATGATCAGAGGGTTGGAGCACCTCTCCTACAAAGACAGGCTGAAAGAGTTGGGGTTGTTCAGCCTTCAGTTATAGAAGAGAAGGCTCTGGGGGGACATAATAGCAGCCTTCCAGTACCTAAAGGGGCCTACAGGAAAGACAAGGAGGGACTCTTGATCAGGGACTGTAGTGACAGGACAAGAGGTAACGGTTTTAAACTGAAAGAGGGGAGACTTAGATTAGATATTAGGAAGAAATTCTTTATTGTGAAGCTGGTGAGACACTGGAACAGGTTGCCCAGAAAAGCTGTGGATGCCCCATCCCTGGAATTGTTCAGGGCCAGGCTGAACCGTTCTACGCCTCTGTGTCCTCTTAAAGAGCCTCCTGTATCCTTTCTCTCTCTCTTATATTCAGTCTTTTCCTCAAAGAACTTATCTATGCGTGATCCTGACAAGCACACTGAATGCTGGTAACCATCTGGTACTTCAGAAGCATTAGAGTACTACACTAGTATCACATAGAGTCTGTTATCACTTATGGTGAACATAAATAAAATTAAAAAAAAAGAAATAAAATTCCATGTTGTACATTGAGACATTAAAGAGGATTACACAAATTTGAAACACTTAATGTTTTATTATCCACAGCAGACCAACAGATACCTGACATCCAAATAATAATTATGGCCTGATGTTAAGTCTTCAGAGACCTGCATCTTCGCATAATCCCACAGAATCAAGGCTGGTTGTGGTCTGGAGAGCACCTGATCCAATGCCCCTGCTCAAGCAGGTCCACCTAGAGCCAGCAGACCAGGCCCATATCCAGATAGCTTTTGAACATCTCCAAGGACAGAGAGTCCACAACCAACTCTGTGCCAATCCTCAGTGACCCTCTAAGAAAGTGTTTCCTGATATTCAGAGGGAGCCTCCTGTGTTTGTGTTCATTGCTTCTTGTCCTGTCACTGGGTACCACTGAGAAGAGCCTGGATCTTCTCACCCTCCCTTTAGCTATTTGGCCACATAAATGAGGTAATTTCAATCTGTGGCAATCTGCAGCCACAGAGGGAGAAAGACGCAAGAGAGACGTGAGGCCAGAAAAGACCCGACATCAGCCCATGAAACTGTATCCCTGTTCTAAGATCAAACAACTTCCATCCGAGAATTCACAATGCTTTATTACTTTCAGCAAGCAAGCTTATCATGCCCAACAAATCAAACCACATTTGTTTGACAGAATCTGATAGCAAAACCATGCTCACCAGCATGTACTACGGTCTCATTTATTAGTTCTTAAAAAGTCACCGTTGCATTGACTTCTTCACTATTATGCTCAAAAATACCAGAACCAGTGAGCTTTACTGGTCTTTAATTATACAGGCAATCCTACTTGCTTTTTTTGAAAAGTACCATGACTTAGAAATGAAGGTCTGTGGACCACAGGTCCTCCTGTCCATCCATTTTAGTACTTCTGACTGTTACACGGCCAGACTGACTTGACGAGATTTATCCTGGTGCTGTTTAACATTCAGCTTAAGACATGTAAACAACTTTCACTACTGGAGGTGCCAAGCAATAACATCAGACACCAATAAGAAAGCACTCTGCTGGTTCTGTATCTCTTCATTCAGGCAGATTTAAGAGAGATTAATATTTTTAATTATATTTCGAGTATGTTTAGTATTTTTAAATTAGAATCAAATCAGAAAAATATAAAAACGGCAAAGAACACCAATGTACCAAAGATGACCCACATCCCGCATTGCCTTTTTTACCCTGTATCAGCTTTTCCTTGAGAAAAGAGCATGATGTAAACTTGCTGAAAAAGTGGTGACAGTGGTCAACACATCATTTTAACAGGTAAAATCGCCTTGGAGAAAGTACTGAAAGTCCTACTAGGTAATTTACAAGAAGGATACGACACTCTATCTTAGGGAGTTTTGTCAGTGACCACATGTATATATACATTACAATGCCAATGCTTTTGCCAAACATTGCCTTAACCACATCCGTTAAATTATGAGCTGTTTAGACAGTTTATCAGATTAAAGAACGCTGAAAGCTGCCGTTTATGTGTTTTCATACACACACCTCCCCTGGCACCTGATGCCCATCCTGTCCCCAAGCCAAGCCCAAAAAGTGGTTGGATGAAGGAGCACCGGGCGCACACCCCCGTGTCACACAGGGACATCACACCCACACAGGCCTATGTCACCCCTGCCACAGGTGACACGGGCTAACTCCCCTCTCTCACCCCAGCACACCCTGCTTTTAATCACAAGGCCTAACCGAGTGTAATCATTAAACCCCGCCGGGCCCTGAAGCCATCTCCTCCATCACCGCCCCCCCGCTGACCACCCCAAATACCAGCTGGGCCGGGTTTGTGTTAACCAGGCGACCCCCCAGCCCAGCCCCAGCCCCTCGGCAGGCAGCTCTCCCGTAACAGCCGGGCTGGGCGCGCCCGGCCCCCCGCCGCCCCGGGGGCACACCGGCAGACTCACCAGGAGGCGCTCCCCGGGCCGCCCCTCTCCAGGGTGCGGGCCCAGGGCTTGTACCACTGGATCTGCTCGGCGGCGGCTCCCCACACCTTCTCGGGCTCCGCCACGGAGCTCCTGAAAACTTCCTCGTACTCGCCCAGCGCCCGGGAGGAGGCGGCGCGGCCCGCGAAAGCGCTCCCCGCGTAGGGCCGTCCCGGCCGCCGCCAGGCCCCGCCGCCCCCCCGGCCCGCCGCCGCCCCGACCAGTTTCGGCAGCGCCGGCAGCCTGCCCAGGAAACCCATTTTCAGGGGAGAAGAGCCGCGCGTTAAGGCTCCGAAAAGCCCTCGGACGGCACAGGACGGAGCGGCGG